AACGTTTTTGGCAAGGTTACAAAGTTCGAAAGGTAAATTTCAATTTATTTATTTATTTATTTTTTGTTCAATATTCATATATTCAGGGTCTCAAAGCCAAAAAGAAAAAGAAAGGCAAGAAAAGTGGCAAAAGCAAAAAATGAACAAACACGTTTATTTTTTAATATATTATTTCTTTTTATTTTATGCTTGTCAAAAATCAACTATACCGAAATCAAATACAAAATTGAAATAGCGAAAAAAGAATCAATAAAGAATTTGCGACCTAATTTAAAATTACGATTAATCATTGTCACCATCAATAGTCATAGATGATGTATTCAATAAACATGATATTCATGAATTGTTTCGATATGATTCATTTCGTCTTAAAACGTTGTCTATCAAAAGGAATAGAACAGTTCGAAGTTTAGTCATTGATTGAATTTGTATTATTATCGAAAAACACATTAAGAATTGTTTGACCATGTGAAATACATGCATGAGAAGAATTAGAACATTGTCCATTTATACTTGAGACAGAGATCTGTTCATTGACTTGTCTAAATATACATTCATCAAAAAACAAAAAAAGTAATATCGAATATCTCAAAATGTGTGAAAAACATAATTTATTTTGTATATATTTCTGTATAAATAAATAATAAAATCTTGAGTTGCTTTTCGAAAGATCCATCGTCAAATTCTCTATAACAATTTTATCAAGAAAAAGTTCCATTTGATTTGTTCTAATGCACTTTGATAAAATTAAACTAAAATGATATTATGTGAATGATTACTACTTTTCGTGATATACAGCCGAATAAAGTACGACCAATTTCGATCAACAGCAACCATTACCCGACAGAAATTTTTTTCATCGAGAATTCGTAAACGTTTAACGTTATTTTTGAAAAGAAACATAATGAAATTGTTCCTAATATTCAAAGTAAAAAAAAAAAAGAACTCTTAATTGATTCTAATCGATTATGAGTGAGTCAACAGTGTGGGTGTGAGCGAAAGAAAGACTCACACCCACATACACTTCATTACTATCTGTGATAGTCCAACTACACTACTTAACTGAGAGACCATCAAGACTTTTTTGCAGGGTTATTTGGATTTATCCAAAACCTTGGTCTTATTTTTCGATAGCATGTAACACAATTTAATTGAAGGTGAAAGAAATCGTCTTGTTGAAGAAAGAGTGCTCATTTCAATCTAATGCTTTGTATTCAACATCAAAATAAATTTTATGATCTGTAGTAAAACTCCATAGAAAAAACGTCGTGATAGCTGCTGATTTTGCTTCATCATAGGAATTACAGGATGTTGCAAAAGTCCCTTTCTAAAAGTTTTTTCGTTCCATGTCACTATTGACTGGACTTCATCCAATAATTTTTTTTGGATAATAAAACAAAAATTTAGCCTGTTTTTTCTTTCACGGACATCAAATGAAGTTGTTCCATCAGTTTCGGCTATCACTATTTCATGCTCATTGCTATTGAATAATACAGTAGAAAAGGCATATACATTGCATTGGTGAGATTTCATCGAAAAGCCATTATCTCGTATGATCTACTTATGCACCGTTTCTTAAATCTTGCGAACTAAAACAACATATAAAAACTTACTAGAGCAGTTTCCACTGGAACTAAAATGTGAAAGCCATATAGTGCTTAAGTTTTTAATAAAATAAAAAAAGACTCCTAGATGGATCACATATTTTAGGATTATCTACAGACGGAAGGAAAGCTATCTCAAAGAATAAAATATCTGTGAGAGGAGGAGGAGCAGAAAAAATCTCACTTTTAAGTTACACTCGTACATATTATAGGAGTTCCAAAACTAGAATGAATATTTACACTAAACATTCAGGACGATTGATCTGCATTTCTAGCAACATCACTATATTCCATTTAGGGTACTTCTTTTAACAACAAGTTGATATCAATGTGGTATAATACACGAGATTAGATCAATTTTCAATCCTTATATTGTTACAGGATCTTGAAAAGTATCATATACCCATGTGACATTTAGAGACCTAGGAACATACTGGAACAGACAATAATTATATCATATCAACCTACTGAAACTAGCAAGATATCAAAAAGCTCATTAACTTCTCCGTCGAGCGATCTCACCTTTCATCTTATAGTTTCTTGCTCTAGTTTTATAAAAAATTTTGAATTAGATATTTTAAACTTTTTATCTTCAAATTTATTCTATTAACAATTGATTGAATAGAATGTGAATAATATTGTATTTCAATATTAACCCAACGACTGAAATGCTTATTTTAATGTTAAAATAACTAGCATATGTCCTAATTCACTTGCATGATTTATAACAACAACAATAAGGAAATAATGATTAAGTAATAAAAACAAATTCTCATTCTGATATTTCTCCTGAAATATTCATCAAACTGAAAATAAGATATTTCAATATCATATGTTTTAAATAGTAATTTTTAATATTCATATATGAGAAGAAATTATCTCGCAATAATATCACTTGTTCGCTAACTGAGAGAAGTCAAACATGGCAAACATTTGCTTTAAGACATTTCCTGCATCGTGTTTCTATGGATCGGTTGTGATAATTTCAAATATTGAAACAAAAGAAATTTTTAGAGACGTGAGCGTTAGAAACATTAATGATAGTCTTTAGTTGAAAATGTAAGAGTTTTAATTACGCTTGTGTCGATAAGAATATAATAAAAATAGTATAGTTTTGAGCTAATGGATGTGATTGTAATCGAAGAGAACAGTCACATCCACCCACTCCGCCACACCCACAAAACTACACTATTTTTATTTTATTCTTATCTGCTTAATCTATCCATTTATATTGATTCTACTATTTAAAAGTGTACGCAATGATTTGAACAACCATTATATTAGTTGGATTGAGTTTCATTTTGTGTATTTGAAAATGATCCTTTAAATGTTCGAAGTGTCATAAAATGCATTAATTAATTTAAAATTTCATTATTTGTATTTAATTTTTATCTACTTAATTTATCCATTTCTATTGATTATGTTATTAAACTTATGTCATGACAGCGTTATACCTGATGATGACAAAGGTACGATGAGCTTTTTCTTGAGCATCATTTAAATCAATGTTTTCTAGATGTAATTTACTGCCGCCGAATGAAATAATCGATTGTGGAGATGGCTTGAGCGATGATGAAGAACATAGTTGTGTATCAATCTTGAACAAATGAGAAAAACAAATGTTTTTATCACAAAAAAAAAACTCATATTTGTATTGATGAATCTGAGGTGGCAGATATTTGATCAAAAGTAATCTATAACATACGACAATACTAAGGACAACAAATTCGTACCTAAGATAGTAGAATTATATGCCGCATTGGTTTATATTCCTTAGTAGTTGGTATCAATATTTGGACGAGTTTTACATTGATTATGTTGTGTGATGATTGATCGACAGTTGGTCAACACGAGCAACAATTTCTTCCCATCTAAATTATATCAACAATTTTATGAAATGTTCACAACTATAGTTATTACATATTAAAGTGTTATACGAACTATACAGTATGCAGTTAAAGTTGATGAGATAAAGAGAGAAAAACAAAAAAATATCCAAATCTATTTCAATGTTGCACTATAGAATTTTTCGAAGAGTACAAAGTTGTTCTAAAGTGAGCACATTCAAAAAATTGTCCTTTCGAATATCAGCCAATGTTTTCTCATAAATCTCTCTCGACAGACCAGATGGTGCTACCTAAAGTCGATGCCGACCTATTTTCAAGGAATTTGATACAAACCCTAAGTTTATTATAAAGTTCTTATTCATCCGAATCAGTCATTATTAGGCTCTTGTAACTGTTATCAATAATATTCTCGAAAATTCCACATCAGTAAAACAAACAATTTTTGAATAAGTATCACGACTTGTGGCTCCCTCACATACTATTTGTGATATTGTTACTATTGATTCTACGGGTTATTAGACAGCGTACTTTAAGAAAAAGACACGAAGAAGAGCAATAATAATAACAATCATCTTGAACACAAATGAACAAAGAATTCTATGCTTTCTCTAATCAATAATGTAACTAGCCAATGATGAGAATTCTTTTTATACTTGCTTAAATACGGGGTCGACACCGAAAATAATTCATTTTTCTTATAGTACAAATAAAAAAGAAAAATTCGATCAGGTTGATGCTTTATTCATAAATACAATTTCAATTAATATTACTTAACTCATTTTTATATAATAATTACAAAATGAAAATGTTGACTCGAAAAAGTTTAATTGCTTCATCAATAATATCTTCCTTGCTAATAGCTAGGAAAATAATAATCAACGAGACACATTCATTTCTTAAACTAAATCAAAAGTAAAAAAAAATCGTTTTTCCTAATAGTGCTAGTAATTCTATTCAAAATCAAATTATTAATTTATCATTGTGGATGCAATGTTTATGCAGTCTGACCAAGACAAGTACTTAGATTTCTATTCATTGCAATCCTGATCCTAATTGTGTCTTCAACTTTTCATATTTATATTTATACTTTATATGGATTGTTTTTTGAGGATCTGAAACTCTATCGATTGATGGAAATTGTCATGTGACCCATTGGTGAAATCGATGAAAAAAATCATGAATATACGAGAAATAACAGCTCTCATCATATCACAAGCATCTGAATACAAGCAAAAAAAAACCTCTTCTCACCATTTGTTCTTCAAGATATTTTCAACATCAAAATTTGATATTAAGTCATTTATTTATCATATTGAATGTCGCTTTGCAAGATTACAAAGTTTGAAAGATAAATTTCAATTTATATTTATGTATTCACGGTCTCAAAGCCAAAAAATAAGAAAAGTGACAAAAGCAAAAACTGAACAAACAAACATTCATTTTCTATATATTATTTCTTTTTATTTTCAACTTACCAAAAAATCTAACATACAGAAATCAAATAAAAGATTGAGATAGAGAAAAAAACATAAAGAATTGATGAACTAATTTAAAGTTGCGATTCATCTTCATCATCAACATTCATAGGTGATGTATTCGACAAACGTGATACCAATGCATTTTTATCTGATTCACTTTGTCTTAGGACGGTCTCTGTTAAAGGAATACACGAATTTGATGCTTGATCATCGCCTGGATTTATATTATCATCGAAAAATGAATTAAGAATTGTTTGATTATGTGAAGCATGCACATGTAAAGAATTAGAACTTCGTTCATTTATAACTGGAATAAAGTGTTGTTCATTGACTTGTCTAAACAAAAAACGATAAAAAAAAACCAAATGTTTCAAAATGTCGAAAAAACATAATTTATTTCCATGTATTTCTGTATGGATAAATGATATTCTCGGCTTTTGTTGGAAAGATGCATCGCCAAATTCTCTACAATAACTTTATCAAGAAAATAATCTATTTGGCTTGTTCTAATACACTTTTATTAAACTAAACCAAAATGATGTGTGAACGATTGCTATTTTTCATGATACAAACCTAAATAAAGTACGGCCAATTTCGATCAGACAATTTCAGAAAATGGTAAGAAAATGAAAGCAGCAATAGTGTAATCAAGTTTTTCGAGTTCCAATCGAAAATGATCGTCATCCGGCATAAATATCTATTTTATATTCATCTTTCCGCAGAGAATTTCTAATTACTTTATGTAGTTTTTGAAAGAATTCATCACAAAATTATTCACAACATCCAAAGTAAAAAATAGTCTTAATTTATTCTGATCGATTATAGAAGAATCAATAGGAAAGTTATGTGATAGACTGTTCGAGAACTGCAGGTCTTTCCAGACCCAGTTGGTATTCAGTTTTAAGTCTCTATAGAAAAGAGTTTACGTCAGCGTACTTGGAAACAGCGTTTTGGCTAAGATTCAACTTTAGAATGACTATTTTTTGTAAGAAGAGCCAATAAATAGTTGGAATCTAGACTCTTCCTGTGGTTATCTACACAAAGGACGCCAGATATTCGTGAAAACGACTCCGGTATAGACCTGACTATGCCCAATTCTGGATCTACCAGGTTCGGGTCGATAGAAATACAGACGCATTAACCTCTATATACTGCAGTTATTCATTACAACAGTGAAGTGAACGCTCTACAAGTGGCAAGTTGATCATGGAAATTGAATTCATTATAGAAAAACTAATAGCTCAATATCTTGATATTGCTAAGATGCTTGTTTTGATGTTCAAAAGTCTTGAAAAAGAATTAAAAGTGAATAATAGACGATTATCCGTTTAGATTGAAAACTAAGTTGAATTCGGAAGAGTAAAAAATGATATATCTTGTACAACTTTGTTTTTCGTCCTCTCAAAATTAATAAGAATAAATCAAAAACATATCGTATATTTTGAATATTGTGAAAACTTACATTATGAATCTTTTTAACAAGAAAATTATACTTTTTTTTTTAATGAATTATCTTTGTAAAGATCAGTATAAAATAGATATTATTATAAACATTTCTCTTACTTTACAGATAACGGAAAATAGTAATTGTTCACACTTTTTCCTTTAGTATTTTTAAAAATACATGAGAACCAGTAGAAAATCATTTTTTTTTTGGTATACTTTTGTTAGAGAAATCGACCATGAATTTTTTGAAAAAATTTAGAGTTTTTGTTGTTTATCTGCGCATATATATATATATGCAAAATAAATTACGTTAAAAGTATTTTGGGACAGTCGATATATATAATCAAGTAGTAGAAAAGAAGACGGTATTCTTTAATGAAAATCAAAAACAAAAGTAAATTCATCATACAAAAACGATGTATATGTCCATGCGATCAAGTAAGACTAGCAAAACGATAAAGGACTGTGATATAGATTATAATAAAATCGATCTCTGTCTTTTTTCAATCAATTAGAAGAGTAGAGAAAAGAAAAAATAATAATAATAGTTTAAAAATGATATGTTAAACCTTGCATTAAGATATTTTACCTAATTGGTCGAAATATAGGATTCATTTCTTTGGTAGAATCATATTTCATAGTTGATACTTTTGATGTCTATATAAAAACAAAAAAAAAAAGAAAACAAATTGTTTTATAGAGAAAATTGTAATTTAGAAAAACTCACAGATAATTGACCCGAACTTTTCGTTGATCGAGATTTATCTAAATGTGCTAAGTTTCGTTTCCATCCACGAAATGTTCGTAATTGAGGTGTAATTTCTTTATCGATTGAAAATTTATCAGAAAAACTTTCTTTCATTGGATTATAATATTGAAATGAATGATCAATTGTTGTAGGACTTCGATTACCAGTAACCGTTACTGCACGTAATAATGACATTGGAGAATGTGAATTTGATGGTGATCGAAGACGTGAAGTATCTATTATATAGAATAGATATGAAGAACAGAAATCAATAAGAAAAATCATTTACCAGCTGACATAAATGTTGTTGTTTCGTTTGTCATTGATGAAAGACAATTGACCGTTAAATGTTCTGTACAATTTTGTGAAACATGATCTAAAAGGAATATTGAAGTATAGAGATAAAAACTTAGATCCCACTCTTTCCCTCACAGACTGTGACAAATGCTAGCCAGAGATCATTAAAAGGCGTAACAGACGCCTTTCTTCTCCATCGCAGATGTTTTTGATATACAAAGGGGATAGTGAAGAAATATGTCCCAAAACAGATAGAATAAAGCCATCTTTTTCTTAGTTCAGGGGTTTATGAAAAATAAAATTTGTCTCTTTTTTCTTTGTGACTTTTCAAACTACTGTGACTTGCATAAATTTCACTTCCTTTAGTTCCTTTACAGCCTTTAATCCTTTTAGGATGTGAGTGTGAGTATAAAAAACTAAATCGAGATAAATTTCATTTCTCATGAATCTATACAATGATTAGCAACAACAGCTACATGGTGTTTAACATTTTAATCCCACAGGGATTGCGCTAACAGATTTTTTGATATATCATAAAATGAAAATTTGTTGAATAATAATAATATAAAATAATTATTAGAACTTATAGATTAATTTGAATTTCTCATATTCTATCTCAAAAAGTTTTTCGTCTTCATATGAATATCTTCCGTTCAATTATCTAATACATTCGAATTTATTTCAAACTAAAATCTAATTACTTATCAGTATAAAATTATTTCTTTCTCTTGAATATTTCGGAATTTAATCTAACATCGATCTATCTATATGAGTACACCATGTTTTTGTTTGAATAAACAAATTTTTTTTGCAATCTAGAGATGAAATTGATTTTCTTACCACCACCACATCGAATTCTATATCGAGCATAATATGTTTCAAGTATGTTCAAAGCTTCATTTGGTCGGATCTTTTCAGGTCTCTTTTTTGATGATAAATTTAAACTATTATCGCATAATTGTTGTTGTTGTTGTTGATAATTAAATGTATTTGTTGTTAGACTATTATTTAATCGTCCATCCTGCATAGTATTCATTCGTGTTGTAATACCATCACTATCTTTCATTTGTTGATGTGTTTCACTATCGAGTCGGATTTTTTCTGTACTTGTTGGACGCGTATCATAAACATCTGATGCTCTTGATTCATCTAAATAGATAGAAAAACATGTAAATAATTTATAGAACATATCTGATAATAATAACTGTGTTAAGAAAAATCATATCTTGTTTCTTCTAATAAGATGATCACTTTCTAATATCATATAAACCCATTCAGTGTATGGTTTACATATGACACGATACTTATGAGTGTGGATGGTATGGAATTTATGTGAGTGTAGTCATGTAATTGAAAGGAAGACACTTATACACAACTATACTTACTCACACCCACACACTTAAGTTAATATAATTAGAGAAGAAAAAAATTCATTTTGTGCGTAAGTATCGCCGCTGTAGTATCACTTACGGAAATGTCGGTGAACTAAGTTCACAAGAAATCAAACTTATTATGATATGACTTTTCCTTTATGGCTATCAGAGATTGAATCACACGTATTTTTAGAACTGAATTAACTTATAATTTTTAAAAAGTTCGAATCGAACTGATGTTATCGTTGATGTCAATGCTTTTCTTCATTTTCGACAGTTTATTTAAAGTATAAAATAAATTATTAACTCAATAATCTCATAGTGTACCTTTCAAATATGCAATCACAATTATGACATATCAATTTTTATTATTCAATCAATTTATACCTGTTAATTCTGCTTTTAATTGATTTAATTCTTGTATAAGTTCATTTAAAATTTCACTCATAGATTTTAATGGTACTATTTTGTCGAACATAAGTTTTTGTTGAATATTTCTAATTATTTCATAATCACAATCATTTTCTGATGTAATTGAATGTATCTATAGAAAAAGAAAAACATAAAATAATTATTAAATTCAATAACGATTTATATTTATACATAATGTAAAAGAAATGGTCGAAGAATGACATAAATTGGTGTTTTATATGAAACAATAAAATCAATAAATAATAAAAGATTTGATGAAATATTTGATTGTTTATTACACATTAATTTTATTGCTCGTATAATTCGTTGCCATTCATATTTTATTTGTTTACTAAAACTAATGATAAATATTTTTAAACCTAAAAAAAAAAAAAAAACATAAATTATAAAAATTTCTTTTAAAAATCTTCATAAAATAAATACCTAATAATGATGCTGTTCGTGAAAGATATTTTAATTGTTTCATTGATTTATGTGTAAAATTAATATTAGGTAGAATAGTTTCTCCAGAAGTTAAATATTGTTTTCCAGTATTATTTAGATGTCCTAATGATAGATTTTGTGTACCCATAGTAGTTGCAAGTTTTAAATTTGATTTTACTGAATTAAGAAGTATTGTAATAATATATGAAATATCATTTGAATGAATTTTTTGTACATTTTTCTGTTCACTACTCATCCATAATAAGAGTGGTAAAAGAAAATGTAATAAATAATTAAGTGTTAATGAAGGATTTACAGATGACCAACTATTATTAGTAGTTAATGCTTCTAAATTTGGTTGATGCTATAAAATAAAATTTTTTTTATTTTTTATATTATCAGTTGGCCCATAGATAATGAACGTCTCGAATGTTTTGACTAGAATTTCTTTTCTTTTTGAATCTTTAGATCTGATTATTTTTTCAGAAGATGAACTGTAAAATTTTCTATGACAACGTAATCAAATTTATTTGTGTAGAAAGTTAAGCGAAGAATATTGAATGTGTAGAAATAGACCAATGTTCTAAGTTATTTTGTTTTTGCAAATTTTAAAATGTTTTAAATAGCTCTATAGATAATGAAATAAAAGTTACAGTAGCCACAAAAAAGTAGCGCTACCAAATGAAAACTATCTAAATCTTAACCGTTTGGGCTAATATTTTTACCATAAATAGAACTCAGTGAACTCTGATCGCAGGCACCAGCCCGACCTCAATCAGTTGATGTATAATGAAATTAGTAGCTCAATCGTATCATCGTCCTTATAAAGACCATAAGCAAAAAATGTGATTTCAGAATGCTTTTGTTTATAGTTTTACGGTACTACAATTTATTTAAATTTTTTTTAGTGCTAAATGTAGTTCCCTATATCTAGTGTACTGAGTCAAAAGCTCATCTCATAATATTGAGATCTCATTGATTGACAAGCTGTGCCGTGATGAAGTATTTTGATGACTCTGTCTCAACACTACTTTGAGCTACGGTTCTGTAACTTTTATCACGAATTGCTAGGCTCATGAGAACTCATGGCTAAAATTTTCAACTGAATCGGTCAAAGTTAAGTTGAGCTATTTGACATTGGACTGAAAATTAACACTAACCACTTGGCAGGCGTTTTCAATACGAAGAGCATATCTCCATTAATTCAAAGTGATTTTTTACCAAACTTTCACAACAGATAATGCCGATGTTGAGTTTTCGAATGAGGAGTCGCGCGAAATTGAACATCGAAAAATGGTTGAGATACGGTCTTTACAAAGGTATGATAGGATTGTGCTACTAATTCCGTTATACATCAACGGATTGAGGTTGGGCTGGTGCCTGCGATCAGGGTTCACTGAGTTCTATTTATGGTAAAAATATTAGCCCAAACGGTTAAGGTTTAGATAGTTTTCATCTGGTAGCACTACTTTTTGTGACTACTGTAAGACTTTTTAAGTATGTGAAAGTATGATCGTTCTTGTCATACAGTTCAAAGTTCGTTTAACTTCAATTAAATACCGAAAAATATTTAAAAAAATGCTATTGACAATGACTGAAATTCATCATTTTCTTACTTTTTGGTTTATTGGATTTTAAAGAAAAATCATTCAAAAACTATCATTGCTAAATGAAATAAGGGAGTAAGTCACTTCATACTGAAATGGAAAAGAATCTGAACTTAAAAGATACTATATTGACTTAGTTATCTCACGTTATCAATGAACTCTTGAACTACAAGCTGAAATAGTTCAATTTTTTTACGAAGTATCGCAACTAGGGTGAAACTCATACACATCTGTTGGATTACTTTTCCATTTATTGAAGTAAAATCTATTGATAGAGCTGTTCAACGTCTCTTTTATTTTTTTCTATCATTCAGCTCAATGCAAATATTTGAGTAAAACGATTTTTCAGCTTACGAGAGAACCATTCGAACTGACACCTATCTTTTGAGCTCATATTGGGCCTACAAGAAGTTCTCGATAAGACTAGAAAAAGCCTAAAAAGGGTTCGTTCTCATGAATTGTTTTACTGAATTTTCGATTCAGCTTTAGGTACATATCGAAAAGGGAAAATTTCGACGGAAGGTAGGTCTAATGATTCATAGAATATTCTTAAAAGTTTCAACCACGAAAAAAATGTTCTTTTGTCGTAATATTGAATTTTCAAAAAAGAATTACTTACTACAGACATGATATAACAATCAAGTTTTACTAAGAAATTCAATAATCTCGACAAAACAACATCTTTTTCAGTTGAAAAACATGTAGGATATACTGCAAATTACTCGATCCATCTTTGGACGCGAAATTTCACATTGAAATTCTGGTTTTTTACTGTTTCGGTATATATCTAAAAGCGGGTCGAAAATTGAACAAAAATCATATCAATTCGCATAGTTTCCTCGTTAGAAAGTTCACTTATTTCTATGCATTGAATAATCTTTGTTCAATATTACTCTTGAACTTTCTATAGAAATTAAATTTTTCGTAGCACATCTTTTAAAAATGCAATCAGATTTAAGAGTTAAAAAAAGGAAAATAAAAACGTTCAAGTCAAAACATTAAGAAGTTTTGTTATTTATAGACTCTCCATTATTTACATACATTAATAGCTAATAAATATCGTCCAACAAGTTTAATAACAGAATAAGAAAATTCTTTTGGAAATATTAATGTATTCAAACGTGGTATACTATGATTTGAATCTACTTGATTTTCATTTAATATCAATGCAATACAACCAGAAATTAATGCCTAATGTACAAAATGAAACGATATAAAAAAAAATAAATAAATAAACAAACATACCAAATCTTTTAATACATACTTTTAAATTTGGAAAATATGCAATATATGGATGTCGATCAATAGTTAAATAAATTCCATTTAAAATTCCTGCTGTTGCTTCCCAATCAAAACAATGCTACAATAAAAAAAAAAAAAAAAAACTCAATACTTATATAATTAAAATAAATATGTTTGTTTGTTTTTTTTTTATTACTTTTGTCATTTGTTTTTTACAAATTTTTATAAACATTCGATCAATACGTCGTAATAAATGATTTAATGCTGATCGTAATTGTTCATCACTCCAATTTGTATATGGTAATAATTTTTGAAAATAATTTTGTAAACCATGACAACATGTTATTATAGGATCAAAACTAGCTAATTTAAGTAATGTATGAACTATATCAGCAAGACGTATATGTGATTTAGCATCAAGTAATTCAGGCATTCGAATTGTTGAATCATGAAATAATTTAATTAATTCATTTAAACGTTGACTTGAAAAATAAATAAATATTGATATAATAGATAAGAATATATCACGAGGCCAACGAAATTCAGATACTTGTTTAAGTTGATCAGTATCTTGTGTTTTAGATTTGGTACGATCATCAATAAAACGACTACAATAAAAAACAAAAACTTGTTTGAAAAAACAAAAATTTTATTTTTATTTACTTCACTGAATCATCATCAATTGCAATAGATGCTGAACGATATGAACCACGTGAATATTTATAAATACCATCTAATGATGTATCACATTTAGGTTCAATAAATGTTCGTGTTAACCATTCAGTTGTACTAATTAATGTTTTAATAGTAATAGATAATTTTTCAATTATTTTTATTTCATCACGTCCATTTTTTTGAATATCATTTTTATTTGTATAATCTTTTATATATTCTAAATATTTTGGTAAAAGTATATGAATTATATTAAGCATTTGTAATGAACGAATAGAATCAGGTGCATAAGCAACTAGAAATAAAAATAAAATTAATCAAGTTTTACACTCTTTAGACTAGATAATTTTCATTCATCAAGACTTACAACAAGCCTCTAGGTTGATTTACTAGTGCAAAGTAAAGTATTAGTCTGTCTTTCATCATGGTTTTCAATAATTTTTAGAATTGTATGAGGAAAAGGTTGTTTTGTAATAATTTACAGACTGTTTTTAGATAACAATGTCATTCTTTTTTTGCAGAAACAATTTGAAAATTGATATAGTTTAGTTCCTCCAGTCATAACTTACAAAAGAACCTTCCTAATGTGAAATCGCTTTTGAGTTCGGACTTCGTGCATAAGATAGACTCTAATGAGATATTAAAAACTTCAAAAGGATAAAGAACATCTAGGCCTTTTCTACAAAGTTATAGACGTTTTACTGAAATTTTGTCCATAACAATCATCTAAACAAGTTTTTTTTTTTTTTTTGCAATTTAGCTTACCAACAGTAACACAAACATCAAGACAATTAAGAAATGTAAATATTGTATCATCATCTGCATAACAAAAATCTAATGATTTAATAATTGTTGGTGGAATCATAATTCCTTGTCCAAGTGCTGCAACAACAGACATATTTCCTATTGGTATATTAATTGTTCTATTAGTTATTAATGAATTATTTTTAACTAATTCTAATATAAAATAATCATCATTCATAATATCAATATTTGTTTGTTCTAATGCAATTAATAAACGAAATAAATATATTGATTGAATTTTATTTGTATCTGTAATATTAATTGATTGATCGAAATTAAATAATTGTGATATACTACCAAGCATTTGTAATATAAATGGTATACGATGTAAAATATAAAATTGTCGACAACAATATTCAATTGCTTTTTTTAACATTGGATTTGATTGAATATTTGAATAAACATGAAGAAATGTTGGCATTATTAAAAGGTATCTTTAAAAATAATAAAATATCTCTTATAAAGGAATCACTCGGACTGTTAATCTCTGTTTGAATTCATATTTTCCTTGTAAATAAGACTCATAGTATAGATAACAGTAGTAAAAAAGGTTCATCCCATTATGCTTTTCTTCTAAAGTTATTGCTACTTTATTTCAGTCTATTGCAGGATATTCCCAAAAAAAAACCATAAAAATGAATTTTCGGCTGAAAGTTTCTTCAACAATAGTTGTACGGTCCTTCTCATATCGTGATAAGATTCGGAGCCTTTTTCTTTACTGATGTTTAGTAGATTCCGATAAGAAAATTATGATTTAGGCGTAAACTAATATGATATTTTGAAACAACATCCCAAATTGACTAGACTTACTTGTATTTCAATTATTTTCACAAACGTCGAAAAATTTACTACTGGTCCTCCACTCAGGGCTGGATTTTAAAAGTTAACTTGACAGTGGAAACGAAGTTCTAAGATTATAAAACGATACTAGAACTACCGATAGCAGATGACTTAAACAACAAAAACAGAGTTCTCACAAAATTCATTTTTGACCCCATCTCTAAGGAGAACCAAGGGAGGATTTTCCAACGGAAAAAAAAGCTTCTGAAAATAATTGAAAAGTATAAGTAAGTCTACTCAATTTGGGATGCTGATTCAGAATATCAGATTAGTTTTCATTCAAATCGTAATTTTCTTAACGAAGCCTACTGAATATAAAAAAAAAGGCTTCAAATCTGTTTTTTATACCATTTTGAAATACTGGAAAAATACTATCGAACCATATGGAAATAACCTTCTCGCTCATTTAATAGATAGATAAGCAGAACTGATTATCATCAATAGGCAAGTTCAATGTACATATGATCATTTCAATTGACTTCTGTACAACATAAAAAGTGCTATTTGACTAATTATATCAGGATACCCTTTCGGACACCTTATCCGATAGAGCTCGACATAGAAGAAATCAAATTTCTTTGAGGGGATGAATTTCAACAGTTATCAACCTCTTCCCTTTTAGGATATGATGAGAACTGTTGTTTGAGAAAATTTAAGGCCCAAAATCCATTGTTATAGTTTTTCTCGGAATATTCTGCAATAGGCTAAAAATTCGGTAAAGTGACAATAACTCGAGAAGAAAAGCATAATGTGACGAACTTTTTTTTACGACTTTTTACCCACAATATGAGTCCTATCTATGAGCAAAATATAAGCACAAACAGAAACGATTAGCTGGAGAGAGAGATTCTCTCGTTAGTAAAAATATGAGAAAAAAAAAGTAATTCTCTTTTTACCCATTCGTTGCAAATATATGTCGAAAATGTTTAACAATATTTATATAAGTTGCAAGACAAAAACGTAACATAACTAAATCTTCACAATGTAATATAAATGAACCATTAATTACGGAAAGAAATAGAGTTATATCTGATGTTGTACTGGTTTTACCATCCATATTAAAAAATATACATGCAATTAATTTAGTCCTTAAAAATAAAATGAATTGTTATGAAAAATAAAATTTCTATTAATAGAAAATATCATATTTCTTTGTTCCGTCATTGAAAAGGATAAGAAAAAGTTCGATTAGAATATAAAGTTTTAGTAAAAAATCCCTCAAAATTTTGTTTCATATAGAGTATGACCAACTTCATATTGTATCACACGTTCAGGTGGATTCAAGACTTTTTATTAAAACACTATGAAAGAGAGAGATAAGATTTTCTTAAACATGATAAGTTCATGAAGATTTAAATAAAAGATATTGAGAAAATGGCAGTTAGAAAATAGTCAACCATTTAAGTATCGAACAATTGCTAGTACAACACGCATTATACTGAGCGATCTACTGATGGTTTTTATCCGATTTGATTTACATAAAATTTTAGTTTCAAATTCAATAAAGTATTTAAAATGAGGTTGATTAAAAATACATACCAATTATATTTATGTAACATATCTAAATGAAATAATTCTTTATTGTGTATTTTTGTATATAAATTAAAATCTGATTCTAATGGTTTACGTGGAAATAATGGACTTTTAATAAGTTCATCATGAAAAAATGTAATACAATTATGTATTTGATTAAATGGTGTATTTTCAAGTAAATAACGTGCAAATAAAACTTTTGATAATTCAGTTGTTTTTAAAAAAATTGACATTTGTTCAAGTTCTCGTTTTGATTGTTTTATATCCATATAAACTAATGATAATTGTGGATGAATATTTCTTCGAAAAAAATAAAAATCTCGTACATATGTATCAGATATATGAATTTGTTTTGTTTTAATATCAATTAAATAATATTGATCACGTTTTAAATTAGATATACCAAAAAATTCTAATGCTTCTTGTAAAACATTACTAAATTGTGTATCTTCCGAAATAATTGCTTGTGTTGGAATTTGTGATACATCAGGACCATGAATAATAACTTTTTTTGTTGATGGTATATTTCCACTAACTAATATAAGCATTTCAGCTTGTTCTTTACGTAAAATTTGTTTTAAATCTTTTAAAACAAGACCATGTAAATAAGGTATTATTTGCCAGAGTAATGTAAGACCATTAACAATTAATTCTTGTGAACCATCAAGTGGTGAACGTACCATATTTAATAATAAACCAAGAACATAATTAAAAATAGCATGAGCAAATTGAGGTGGAATATCAGTGAAATAGATCATAAGACGATGAAGACATTGAAATGATTTTATCTTTATTATTATTAAATAAATAGATTTCAAGGAACAAAAAAAAAAAAAACCAAAGAATAAAATGACTTACACGACGTTCTTTATGTGAAATTTTTTCAAAAAAGAAACGAATAAGTAATGTTGGTTCATCAAGTAAACAAGTCCAAAGAACTTTTCGAGCTGCATCAGATACTAAAACAAAAGAAAAAATCTGCAGCAAATTTTCCAAGCAATTTAAATGTAATCAAATGAAGATATTAATTATCAGATATCATAGTAGATACGAAAAAAAAAGGCTTAAGATAGTTATCTTAAACGGTAACAAACTTCCTTGTATTCCAGAATGTGAAGGATAGAAATACTTGTCAGGAAAAGAATATAACAGATTCGAACTGTTTTGCTAAAGATTTCATCATTTATTAATAGTCTTATTTCTTAAATACAAAGATTATTGAAAGTTATCATAAAACTAAAATCGATAAACTATAACTTCCGAGAATTTCTCATTAACTATGAATGACCATATTTTCAAAATCATCGAAATACTTTATACCAATCAGTGTCCGACACGGGTCACTTTTTTTGTGATCCGACCCGACCCGAGGTGAGGGATAGTTTTTGGCCAATAAAAGTAAGTTTTTTTCAGACATTGACAATCTTCTCAGTAAATCGATACGTATTCTATAGGTATTCGAAATAAAGAAATGATTATCTCATCTAAAATTGCTGCTTTTCTTATGTGAAGTTCGGAATTCGTAAAACTTTTGTGACCCGACCCGAGCTCAAAAATTTTTTTCGTAACCCGATCCGACCTGACGCGACCCGACCCGTGTCGGACACTGATACCAATATTGATGCTGAGAGAATAAGAACTACTCTATATTTGTTTCAAAGTTTTCTATCATCACTAGAAAAATACTAAATATTTGGCAATTAATAAGTTCCTAGCTGAAATATTCAGTTTTGGTATTGTTTCAAATATTATACTATAAACATATTCCTTGTATATGTAGTTAAAAAGTTTCCACAGGTTAATCAATTGAGCATCTAGAAGTATCTTTTTTTACTAAAGTCTATATGAAAGTCATAATGATATGAATTTCCGTCTTGGAACTGAATGTTCGAAAGAAATTTATTATTTTTATCTTTCTTCTAACATACTTGTTGCACCATTTTCAATAATTTCTTCGTCTTCAAGCATTTCAACAAGATGAAAAATGGCTGCACCAAATATCGATGGAAATGTTCCTTGTGCTTGACAAAGTTGTATACTTGTATCAACCATTCGATCATCATCAATATGTGCTAAAACATTTTCGATAAGAACACATTTTGTTTTGAAAAATCTTTAAAATAGAATCCTATCAAACCTTCTTCTTCATCATCTCTCGATTGATGTAAAAGTGGTTCAAATGATGCTGCTTGTAACATTGAAACAATTGACATAGAAAAATTTTCTCTTGCTACGCGTTTACTTATTTCTTCTGTCATTAATGCTGAATGTATTAATTCTTGTTGATGTTTTTTTCGTGTTTTACTAGTTGTAACAACAGCTCGCTAAATATTCAAATCATTTCTTTTTCTTTGTTTGCCAAAAAAAAACAAACTACAATTAACATACAACTTCTTCTTGATTAAGTGCAACTTGTTGAACAAGTGTTTTAACATAGGGCATCCATGGTGGATCAACTGTTTGAAGATTAGCTACACCAAGTGTAGGTGATGGTAAAACAAATTCAATACTTGGTGGAAGAATCTACATATAATTATTTAAATATTATTGAATTTGATTTCAGTTTTTTTGTTTTTTTCATTTACCTTCATCATTGAATGTGCACCATCTTCTAATCGTATCCAAAATTGATGACGAAAACGCCATAAAATTTGAAATTTTAATATTGCATTGTATCGAATTAATGCAGAAGAATTTTCCATTTCTGTATGTATTAATTTTTCGACTAAATGATTAGCACGAGCAGCTGTAAGAATAACAATTGTTGCTAGAAAAAAAAAAAAAAAAAAGAATAAAATTGAAAATATATTTGTATTTTTACCAGCACAAGAAGATAATTCTTCATTTCGATCAAGTAATAATTCCCAAGATAAAGGAAGAATCTGTGAATAATGTTTATCATCTAATAAAACTGATGATTTACAAAGTATCATTAATGGAATTTGCATTAATGATCCAACCTGAAAAGGAAGAAATTAACAAACAAAAAAAAAAATAATAAATTTTAATCTTATACAAAAAAAAAAAGAATAAACAAACTTGTTTTTTAAGATAAGTCGAAATAGAATTAAAATGTGTATTTATCTCTTTTTTCATATGTAAATTAGTAGTTTGTTTACCAAATAAACAAGTTGAAAACTATGAAATAAATATGAATTTTTTTATTTTAATATTAAATAATATAATTCAAAAAAAAAAAAAACCAACAAAAAAGATTTTACTTGTCGTGTTTTATTTGGTATTGTATTATTAGATTTTAAATTTGTTTGTATTGATGATGATGATGATGATGATGAATGTGAAGATAATGATGATAATTGATACATATTTAATAATGCATTAAGAAGATTTTTACAACTTTTTGTTTGTTTTTCATAACAATTCGATAAACATTTTATTTGATGATCACATGTTAAATTAACATTATTAAATATTCTTATAACAACTTTTATCCATGGTAATGGTTGTGTATTAATAATATTATCAAATTTTTCAAGATCATATTCATCATCAGCACAAGTTGGATATTCATTTGTTGGTTCCATAGTTGAATATTCAATATTATTTTGATGAAAATCAGTATCATTTGAAATATTTGATATATGACTACGACGTCTTGCTCGATAAGATGAACGATGTGTAGCTGAAGAAATGAATAAAATAAGAAATTTTCATAAACGATAAAGTAATAGACATAGAGCTCATTAGATATAAATTTAAAGACCATAGAACTGCGAGTCAAAGTTTTAGACTCAATGTTTATGAGCAGAGATATCATAAGAAATATTAATATATATGATTTTGAATACTTCCTAATCGTTGAACGGTCACTGCAGATCTACTTGAACGCATTATCTCATAAATTTGAGTTTGTCGGTGAAATATTTTCATATTCTTCTTCAACTTCAGCATATATGGGTGGTATATTTAAGGCTGAAGAGCTTTGTTAGACCTTTCTATGTATAACAGGGAAGTCTGAAACAATTGTTGTTTCTCAAGTATTTCTTCAACTGATTCAACCACGCTAATACACAGATTTCAAGACGCAATTACTATGGATGCTACATAGTATTCTACTTAAAACCCTAAAAAGATTTGAGTTCCTATCATACTTGATGAAGCTGTTGAATTTTAAATATATCTAATTACTAGAGGTTCGTTTAGGACTTCATATCTTCAGAAAAATCATTTTTTTCGAATTTTGTCTTGAAACTACTTTCATTTGAAATTCATGTACCGTAGCTTGTGTTAAGACTTTGTATCTCCGAATTATAAACTTTTCGAAAAATAGACGCTTTTCGAAGTGTAATAGATAATACAAGAATATTGTGAAAAGTTCATATCTTGGATACACGAATTCTTCAAACAAGCTATTGTACGTGACTTTCAAATGGACAAAGTTTTAAGATAAAATCAATAGCTTCATCAAGTCTAAATAGAAACTAAGGGTGCAACACATCTAGAATAGTTTTAGGATTTGGGACTGAAAGTCTTGGAATTTGATGTGTATTTGTATTTTTGCTAGAATACTAAGTAGTATCCTAGAACAGAAAATCATTGAAATCGGAAGTTGGAGTCTAGAGAAGTTTTCTCATCAGTGTATCAAATAATAATTGATTTCTACTGTTAATTAAAAAATACACACGCTTTACATACAAGTTAAAATGAATATAAATGAAATTTTCTGTTTTATAAAAACGAAAAGAACATATTCGAAATTCGTTTCTCGTTGATGCATGATTCTTTAGAACGCTTTTTTTTTGCTATTCGATGAAATCTACAGAAAAATAAAATGGCTGCATAATATCATTTAAACTTCGAAGTTCATGATTTGAATTTCAACAATACACTTTATTTTGATTTTTTAAATGAAAAGAAAAGAAAAGAAATTGAAGCATATTGATATTCAACATATCATATACTCTAAATTACTCTTACTTTTTCCAGTATCTTTCATTCTCATTGGTAATTTTGTTAATTTAGTACTACTTCGTCGATGTAATTTTGATTTCATAGTACAAACAGCTATACTTTTTCGTTTATTAGTTGCCGATGAAACTAAACAAATAAAGAATATATTCATAGATATATATATAATTATTTTCATTTAATCATTTTGTAAATACCAGATGTTGAACATCGATCTAAAACTCCACCACTATTATCATCATTTATAATAACAGTTGTATGATAACTTTCATTTGAATCATATTCTTTCTTAGTAGCAAAACTAATATGTCGTTCATGAGTTGATGGATTCATATTTATTATTGTTTTTGATAACATTGACGGTGAAACTACAATATTTAATAAAATAACTAAAGAAAAAACAGATTTCTTTTGTTTTTTTTTTAAATTCATACATGATTGTTGTTCACTTGATAATGAAAGTGTACTTCTATTTGATGTTTGTGAAACAACACTATCCTTACGTGGACGATCTGATAAATGTTTATCTATAATAATCGATGATGTATCGATAATATTTTGTGAATTAGTAGTACGTTGTTGTCGATAGTTAACTTCTTCTGTTCGTAACGTTGAAAGTTTTGGTAATGTTTCATATGTTTCACGTAAAAATGATGTAATTTCATAAAGAAGTAAACATACTATTAATTTTAATGAATATGGACAATCACGACCTGAAGGATTAACAATTGCTGAAAAGAAAAAAATTATTATTTGTTTTTTTTTTTTTTATATACAAACATAAGTATTATGATTTCTACCTTCATTATAATAATCTTCAAATATTTCATCCTTATTCCATAAATTTGTTGTTGAATTTTGTTGTTGTTGTTGTTCTTCAAGGTCTAATATAGATTCAAGTTGTGATGAAAGAGCCTTTAATAAAATTCGTATTTTATTTTATTTTTTTTTGGTTATTGTAATATGTAAAATAACTTACATCACCCCAAATATAAAACATCCTAGCTGCTGCTGCTTGATATATTTTATTTAATTTTAAATTTATACTTCCATTGATACGTCCAGTAGATGTATCATGTGGACGAAATGTTATTATATTCTTACGCATCCATATAGGCCATTGTCCTAATGAACAACATCGAACATAATATGCACATTCAATAAGAAATGCTGCTTTAGAAATAATTGGTGCATCCTAAATTTTTTAAATTTTATTTCGAAAAAAAAGAAAGTAATAAAATAATTCGAACAAACCAAAAAAAGTAGACTATCAAGAAATTGTGGATCAGGTAATGAACCCGGTGGACATGATTCTAATAGACAATTCAAACGTAATAATCCCATACGAACAAGTGTTAAATCAACATATAAATTTTCTTCTTGATGTTCATATGAACTATGATCATCATCTCCTGTTAATGATCCACTTAATAGTTGAGTACCTTCAATTTTAATAATTAAAAAAATGAAATATAAAATAATTTTGTCTTTTTTTTTTTTTTCTGTACTTTTTAATTTACTATGAATTGGTGATTGTTCTTCTTTAGTAGATTGTATATGTAATTGTTGATCGATACTTTCATTAATATCATCAGATGAATCACGATGAAGAAAAATCTTTTAATAAAAAAAAACAAAATTAACATGTCATACAAAAAAGAAATTTTTTTATAACACTTACTTTTATTCTACTATCATTTTGTTGAATAAATTTATCTTTTATTTTTTGTCGTAATATTCTAAGTTTTTTTTCTGGATCAATTAATGATGAAAATACTGCTGAACGAAATATTCCACCATGATTTTCTTTAATATATATTAAAAAAGCTCGACATTCACTATATAAAATAATATTTTCTGAAGTTAATAAATATTCTTCCATTTTATTTAAACGTATAACTAATGGTTTAAATATAATATTTAATATAAAACCATCAATACATTTTGATCCTATACCAAGATGTGTATTACCAAAATTATTTGAATATGTTTGACGTGAAGGTATATCAGGTTTTATTGGAACTGAAGAATAAATATAAATTTAAGAAGAAAACAAAAACAAAAAAAAAATGTAAGACTTTTACTATAAGGTGCATAATGAGCAAGACCAATATTTGATTCAACACAATAACCACATAAAGCATGTAATATATCAAGTATTTGAACAAGATCAGCATTAACAACAAAGTTTAGAAAATATCTAATACAAACAAAAAAAAAACAAATCTTTTTTTTTAAGAGAAAATAGGCAAATGAAATTTATACTTTTCAAATCGATGTTGATGTAGTAAACGAAGTTTATTTAATAATAAACGTGCTTTACCACGTAATTGATCCATAACAAAATTACGACTACCTGTTTGACAATTTGAACAACCTAATCGTTTGAGTATTCTAAAAATACGGAGAAAAAGAATTGTATTTTGTGTCTAAATTTTCAAAATTCGAAGTATTCATTTGCAGAAGGGTCAAATATAATTTTGTTTTAAACTACATAGAATAATAGAGTAAAGCATTCTCTATAAAATGAGATATCACCGATTTCTCTACGCCTTTTTTTCGCTGAGACACACCAATTTAATTGAAGGTAAAAAAAAAGGCTTTTCTATAAAAAATTGGGAAAAAATGACTTTAGAAGCCCTTTAAGATTGCTGTATCTCAGCTAGGAAACGTCACAGAGAACTCTGAGATGCCTCATTTTGTAGAGGATGATTTGCTCTATCGTCCTATGTAGTCTAAACTAAATTATATTTATGTACTCTACGTGCTGAAAAACTAGCCTTTTGATTTCTCTATTCTAATCACTATTTGGATTCCTTGTAGCGCTCATGCCAATGGAAAAAAACTCAATAGTTTTGGTATCCACTATATATCATATTTCTCTTCTTAAATTCTTTTTTTTTATTGCATAAAAGAACCTAGAGACATCAAATATGTAAGAACTTGAAACACTTTAAATCAAAGAAATTTATCCATTAGAACGTGGTCTTTCTTCTTTCTGTCGTATATATATATAAATCCACCGAAAATGACAAGGATGATTTTTTTTTGTAATAAAAATGGCATTTCAAATCTTAGTCTAGTAGTCGTTTGGCTATTAACATAGTTATCAATACCTGACATAAAAAAAAACACATATCAACGGATTCGGTTAAAAGCGTTCCATGTTCAAAATATTCGAATTGTTAATAATCGTACAGTCTACAAAGTCCAAGAGCCTCTTTGAAATTCCTCAGAGTAGTTCATCAGCAAGACTTGTCAATTTGTAGAGATAAAATTATAGAAAATATGAAGATAATCCATAAAAATGTTGAATAATGTTTCATACAGAGTGGATCATAAACATCTTTACGATAAAATATTTGAAGATCTCCACTCTGCTTGAAAGTATTGGACGGATTTTTTTATCAATGATACAGAAGTGTTCAAAGTTTTTTTTTTATAAGAAACTCGTTAATAGCCACTGTAAGTGTGAATAAGAGTCTAGTTCTTTTATTTTCTGACATCCACATCCTGAAAGACTGCAACAGTGCATTGATGCTAATGAACATCATTTTAACTTTTGGCATAAATGTTATCTTGACTTTTTTGCATGACCTATTCTTCATTTCTTTTTTTCCGAATCCATGAAACGTTGTGATATGTATTGAAGTGAATGTTGACAATAGAAAACAATGTTTATTAACAATTTTCGTATGAAAAAAATCTATGAAAACTTCTCTATCAATAATAAAAAGTCAGCTCAATACTTTCGAGCAGAGTGGAAACAATTAAATTTATTATTGTAAAGATATTTATGGTTCACCTTGAACTGGGCGTGTACTGAACTTGAAGGTACGGCTTCGGCTCTGACTACAGTTATTTACAGCTAATTAATAAAAGGAAGTAGAAGTATACCAATAGAAAGGATGTCAGGGTTGATTATGGTAGATCTACGCGCAGTAAAATAAATGATCCAAAAATTGAAGAGCTACAGACATCTTAAAAGAAAGTCAACAATGTTCAGAAATAGTTGAACCTTAATATACTCCTATGACTGCTCCTATAGCATAAGAAATGCTTGGATACTCACCTAAGGGTAACTCACTCTTTTATTCGACCAAATTCAATTCTAAACAGCTCACTATTACAGAGTTATTAAATTTAAAAAATTTTTTCTCGTAGTAATCATATTAAAATTCTTTTCTTTGATTTAATACTATCAGAACTGATTGAATAGTTCTCAGATTAAATGTATTTCTATTTCATATATTTTCTACCTTAATATAATATCAAGAGCTAATTGAAATTTTTCGTCTTCTATTGCATGAATCTGTTTTAACCATTCTTCAATATGTCCATTTGTTCTTTCATCTGTTGTTGTCATATGATTATTTTCATTAAATGATAATTGTTTTTTATTAATTTCATCTTCTGCTGATGATATAACAGTTAAACCAAATAAAACATCAAGAATATTCATAACTAATTCACAAACTTTTAAATCATTTTCTTTACATATAACAGCATGTATACCAGCTAAAATAATACCAAAATTAATTGTACCATTTCGATTAATATATCCATTTGAACCATCTACTTCTTCAATTTCTTCTAAAAATTTATAATTTATTTCTGAATCACTAATACTATAAGTTTTCATTGTATTTAAATTTGTTATTGTTATAGTTGGAGATATTTTTCTTATACTATTATCTGAATTAATAGATTGATGAATTGTATCTGTATTATTTGATATTGATGTTTTAAATAATAATAAACTTGGATCCGTTAAATGAAAACGACTACTTTGTGATGATGATGATGATGATGATACATGAAAACTATTCAGACGATCAGTACTAGCTAAATCTAAATGTTCAATAGCATCTTCATCAATATAACGAATTTTACTAGAATGAAAACAAAAAGAACCAGAAACATAAAATTTTAATATCAATACAAAATAATGAAAATAATTCAATTACTTTCTTGTTAATAATTGTTTTTCTCTTTTTTGTGTATAAAAAAAAAGAAAAAAATTGAAAGTTTAAAAAACAAAAAAAAACAAATTTTATACCTTATTTTTTTATAAAAATTATTATTATATTTTTGATTATCTTTTTTATTAAATGAAAATTTTTCAGAAAAATATTGAAATGGTATATTTAATAATTTAGTTGATTGTTTAATTGAATTTGATATTGTAGTTGTCATACATTGTTGTTCAATTATATTATGTGTTATTTGTTCATTAAAATAATTATTTTCTAAATATTTATAATAATTATATTTATTTAATGTATTTATTTGTGGCATTGAAAGACTATTAAAACGAAGAATATGTATTGGTAATATACCAGTTGTTAAAGCATTAGATAAAATTTCATCTGATATATTTATCATACGTTTATGTAAATATTCTAAACACCATAAATAACCATCTGTTAACCATGATGGACTAAATAATGTTCGTATTATTCCAATATCAAAATAAGTTGCTAATAAAAGAAATTCTGAAGTATGTGCTTTAGATGATGAACCTATATCAGTTGAACAATTATGTAAAATATTTGGTAATTGTTGAGAAGAAAGAAAATGTAAAGGTATTGATGGTGTTGAAATCGATGTTGGCATACCGGAAATTGTTTTAGACATATTAGCAACTACAATGAATATTTATACAACATGAAGAGTTATGATCGGGTTACTGAAATTTTTATTGAGAACTACTCGTATCTGGAAAAAATCAAAATGACGAGTTTTGACTTGAAATTTTGTCTATAAATAGATTTAATAGTTATTAGATAGTCCTGAAAGCTGCAATAAAAATGAAAATATCTTTCTCAAGATATTCATTTTCCAAATAGACTGAATTATTATATCTTCCTATGGTAAATCGTAATTTTTTTGGAAACTGAATATTTCGAGAACGACATGTATATTTTCGTTGAAACTTTTAAGACTATCTAATGATTGTAAAATCTATTTGTAGAAGAAATTTTAGGCTAAAATTCTCCATTTCAGTTTTTTTTAAAATGAGTAGCTCTCAATAAAAAATTCAGCACAATGAACCATGAGCTCGAATCCTACAAGACTTTCTCTGACCTAAATATAACATATCGAATGAGATATGAATGAATCAAATCGGATCTTGACACCTCAGATACTTTCCTCGTAAGAGATACAGCAAAACAGTATAGCTGTAGTTAGAAATGTAATAATAACAGTGACTGAATGAAACACGAGGAAGACTGATTTTTGAATTTCAATTTGAAACTTTGCATAAAAACAGGTTTTAACGAAACTAGTTTTTTGTTGATGTTTCAGGTCTTTTGATTTGTTTTTGTCGTGAAATAAGAACATAAAATCTGCTAGTTTATATGAGTAAGATAAAAGGCATGCTATTACCATAATTGTATCTTAGAATAGGTGCAGCGATAAGCCTTGAAACATTCACAAAAAAAACTATTCTCATTAAAGTCTGTCCCTACGTAAAGTTTCAAGTCAAATTTCAAAAATCAGTTCTTCTGATGTTCCTGAGAGGAACAACGATATTTATTTAAAAACTCTCATAAAAGTGCAGTATCTCTTCAGCAATGAGCTAAGAGTATGAACTCTTTTTTTTAGAGTATTCATAACTCATTTGAATCTTTATAATGCACATCGTCTGAACTCAAAAGCAATCAAACAGTTGGATGACTTCCCTTGTAAGAGAGATGAGTATGCGTAAGATGATTTTATCTCAAAAAATTTACAACCATATGTCTTTGGGAATTTTTTGTAAAAATGTAAAATATTTCGAATAGGACTTCACATGCAATGGGATAATTCTATCGCATTCTATGATATGAGATTATCATTTTTCTTTCTAAATGCATTTTATTATTTTGAAGTTCAATGGTACTGAAAATTTTTGAGAACTAACTATCTCATTCCATCCCACGTGGAATCCTAATCTCGAAGTAAACAGAAACTTCATCGTTTATTTCTAGCTTTGTTTTCACGGATGTCTATACATAAATTACTATCATTTCATTATGGTTATTTCTCGTTATATTTTCTACATTTGTAACTTTGAGAATTAAAGTTTGGTATCAAGAAAATAGTAAAATCTCTTGAACAGACTATTTCACTCATAAAATTTTGAAGAAGAGGATTTTGTTGATTCTATCACTCAAATATTGCAAAGATTTGCTGTTTTATATTGAAGTCAATCTAATGTTCTATTATTGGAAAAATTCATTCAAAAACTTTTAATTAGTAATTTAAATAATAAAAAATAAATAATTTCAACCTGGACTTTGTGGTGTTGATGTTAATCGACTTAAATCCGACATTGAACAAATCGAAGTCATATTTGCAAGTGGTGCTCGTTTTTGTCTATTATTATTTGTTATTTCATCAACAAAAAGATCCGTTATAGAATTATATGTTGTTGTTGCTGTTGTTGGATTAGAATCAGTAAGTATAGATGATATATTTAATTTTTGTTTTTCTTCAATTTTTATTTCCGATTGAAAACAACTTGTATTTCTTGTTTTATGATATTTAATTGGTGGATTTATCAATAATTGTTTTGTTAAATTAGATGAATATTGTTTTTCAGATAATGATCTTTGTATAGATGATTGAATTAAAGTTGATAAACGACGATGTTGATTATTATTATCAATAGAAAATTTTTGTTCTTGTTGATTATTTTTTAATATCATAGGTTTAATAAAAGCATTAAATAAATGTATATTTGGTTGATGATATTCAAATAATGGTTGCCAAATAAGATGCATACCTTGAGAAAGTTCAGAATTTGATAAGAATTGTTTTTCATTATTATGAATATATGTATGAATATATGGAATAAATAAATAAATAAATAATTGTATTATATTTAATGATAATAATTGATCAGTTGTTTCATTTGAATGTAATATAAGATAATGTAATGTATGAAAAAGACGAATTTCTGTTGAATTTAATAATTGATTAGTTATTAATGATAAGCGATTAGATAAATATGATTGATTTAATTGATATTCAGTTGAATGTATTGTTGGATGAAGAGATATTGATAATTGATGATTTGGTGGAACTTGAAGTTGGTTTGAAAATATTGAAGAATGTGATGGTGATGAAGCAACAAGTAATGATGAACGAGTCGGAGAAAATGATTGTTGTTGGTGTTGCTGCTGCTGCTGAATTGAACAAAGATTATGTTGAATTACTGATGAACATGCATGTATTACATGTGGAAATGCCTGGAAAAAAGAAATAAGAAGAGATAATTTTATTAAAAAAAAAAGACTAACTGCTTTCACTAACAACCATCTTGGAATACTTGATATAGCATCAGTGAGAGATGGTGATAAACCATGTAAAATATTTTGAACAAGTACTTGATCAAAAATCTATATAAATAATAGAAGAAAAAAAATTCTTTTTTTTTTCGTCATTAAATGAATATTAATATTATATTTACAATAGCAGATGCTTCAGTTAAATTACCAAATTTTTGTTTAAGAAATGGACTAGAAAATATATTCAATATATTTTTGATTCTTTTAAAAGGAAAAATAAATCGTACTTGCTTTGTCGCCATAAAAATATTTGTATTGAAACAGGAATAGTATCTTCAGAATCCGATGATGAAGAAGATTTACGTATAGTATCATGATGACAAGTTGAAATATTTTCAAAATTTCCATCTAATACTGTAGTTTGTAAACTCCGTTTAGGCATTTGAAAGAAGTAATCTACGAAAAAAAAAAAAAGAACAGATTTGTTATCAATGCAGAACATATTTTATTTCATAATTAAAAAAAAAATATTAATTAAACAAAAGCAGATTAAGATTCATCATTTATCTACTTATTAATAATATGAATTTGAGAAAAGAAGAATATCATCTTGCATTATTACAGAAACAGTATTTCATTCTAATTTTATGTAATTAATTTTTTTTTTTGAATTATTCAAAATAATACATTTAAAACTAAAGTGAAAAAAAAGAATCATTAAGAATTTTTACGAGTTTAAACATTTAGTTTTATATCTAACGAAGGAATATTCCTTGATATTATTTAACTTCTAAGTCGAGACTATATGTATCATGTAGCCTCTAATAAATTATGAATATTCCCAAAAGACTTCGTGTTTGACGCTTCTTTTCGGTGAGATATCGACTTTTTAGTATGTATTTTCTCTAGTATCTAACATTAGTAACAAACTTATATTTTCGAATTTTTATTTTAAACTTCATTTATATAAAGATCTCAACTAGACCAGCTTGCATAAAAAAAAATTCCAAACTTTTTAGATAAAGTTCCTCCAAGATATGAAGCTTTCAAAGAATACATGCTGTATTTACTATCTATGGAAAAAGCCTCTACCTTAAAAAGTTCACACCTTACGTGTGAACCTCTTCAAGTGTCAAATCACTTTTCAGCTGAGACGATGTTCATTTGATGAATACTAGTAAGTAATAGAAAAATCTAGAACATTTTAATTTTCTGGGTCATTATTCTTGAGACATTGAAATTTTGCTAAATTTTTCAATTAAAATCTGTGGTCTCATGAAAAATCGACACTTTTGACTTCAAACTTTACATGAACAAAGTTCTTAATGAGATTAGTTGATTGTGTATCTAGTATTTCTGTTCTGTAGATGTAAGTATATGAATAAAATTCACTTTTACATATGAGAGAATTCAGAAAATTTAATATCTCAGGATAGGACATACTAGAAAAATTATACTTTTTCCAATAAACTAATCTCATTGAGAACTTTTGTTCATACAAAGTTTGAAGTCGAAAGTCAACTTTTCATTTGACTACAGTTTTTTGTTGAAAAATCCAATTAAACTGCAATATCTCAAGAATGAAGCCACGGAAAATCAAATCATTCAAGGCTTCTTTATTACTCATCAAATGAACATTGCTTTGGTCGAAAAGTAATTTAACACCTGGAGTAAAGGTTCACTTGTTTGATAGACTTTGTCCAAAATTTCTGAAACTCAATACCCTACCAAGAACAAGTTATAAGCACGTACTCTTTCTAGAATATTCATAGTTTATTAAGACTTACATGATATACATAGTCTTGACTCAAAAACATAATACTATCTGAAAATATTCCTTCATAAATAAGAATAAATTATTATTATTATTATTAATAACCAAAAACAAAAGAAATCTATTCATCTTACGCCGCTCAAGGCTATTTTTTTATTTTATTCATCTACAAAATAAGAATATAATAGAAACATCAAAAAGAAAAAGAAGAAGAAGCAATCTATTATATACATTGATTTTTGTTTAGATCTATATAGTTCTCATGATGAGCGAGAAATATATTTATTGAATATGTCAGTTTTCTTTTTCTCCTTTGTTCAAAGGAAGACAAAGTCATGTAATGTTAGAAAAGATGATTTTTATCAAAAAAAAAAACAAAAAAATACTCAACATATTTAATATATCAAATTAATGTACTAATATTAACTTTTCAAAAGACATTAAAATTAAACTAAATATTCTCTTTTCTAAATTTTATAATAAAAAAGTTTTTTTTTTAAATTTACCTTTTTATGAATAACATACAATGAGTCTAGTAATTATAATAGGTACATATATATATATTCTGACATAACATGCTATCATATTAATTTATATTTGAATATGACAAGTAAAAATTAAGATTTCTTAAGAATAAACTTTCTTTTTTTTTTTTTGTTTTTATTTATTTGTTTACAATGTAATAAAATAGGGGCTAAATATAGATGATTTCCATTAGTAAATTAAATTCATGATTATAATTAATTTGATTATGTGAAGCAAAAAAAAAAGCTTTTACTCAAACATCTGAAGAATAGTGAAGATTTTTATAATGACAAACAATATTTGAATAATAAAGAATGGTCGAAAAGTTTCGATCTTGTTCAGTAAATCGATGATATCTATGACAAATCTATATATAATTAATCGATCGAAATATGTGTAATTTTGTAGAAGAAGATTAGAGCTATCATCTGAAAATAAAAGAGATACTTTGAAATATATCAATGTAATACAATATGATGATTATTTTACTAAACTTAAATAAATATTTTCATCTTATATCTTTTGAGAAAAATTTAAAAAAATTTTTTTTTTTAAATAATAGTTGTATGTTCTTTTTTTTGCTCACAGAGATTTGTTATCAGACTTATTCATTTTAATGAAATAATATTTATCATATTGGCTAATTATGATTATAGTTTTATAATATTTTATATTGTTAACGATTTTCATATTGACAATCTTATTATATGAAGTTTACTGTTTTCAATTTAGTCACTAATAATAAGCGATTAGAAACTTTTTAGATAAGATCTTTGTTCACTTTTGATTCACTAGAAAGTATGTTCCATGAATTAGTATTACAATTTTGTGCACATTTTGAATATGGGCTCAGAAATTTTGTCTTAATTTTTATTCAATAGTAGTGAAATCATTTTTGAAAAGTCCAAAACATTCGTTTGGATAGAAATTTTTTTGTTATTTTTACAATTGCGATTCGTAATTAAAATTTAGGATTTTTATTTATATATTAATTTGTACATCAGAAGCTACTCTACAAAATGCATTACTTTAACTGTTCTTTTGTCTTTCGACAAGGCACCGTTGAAAGGAGGTCTAGAAAAAAAATGCTTCTAGTCTCACTTGTATAAAAAGCTACAGCTTAGTTCAATGTTACACTTTGTATAGAAGTGTCTACTCTACAAAACGACTGACGCCGACAATTTTCAGTATGTCCAACAAAGGGCTTCGAGGGTAAACCAAACTTGAAACACAAATAGACAAAACAGTTCTAAGTCCATATTCGAAAACGAGTACAAAATTCTAATTAGTTCTAGCTCATAGTTTTTGACTTGTTGGAAATACTTTTCTCGCGGAACAATAAAAATATTCCAATCATTTGTTATGTCAGTTGTTTGGATTTATTTTTCCGATAGTAGTATTTAAAAAACTTCTAGTATTAATTTTAAAGTCGAATAGATGATATATGATTAATAAAAAAACGTGTGAGATATCATTCGATAAGATTTAAATAATTATGAACTTAATTCATGATATAACATCAAATAAAAAATTATTGATGTATGAAAAAATTTTTGCATGTAGAAAAATGTGAGAAAATAATTAACAGTATTTCAAAAAGGTTAAAAGTAATCGTCCAAAAACAAGGAGTCAACTTATCATAAAATTTGATTATTGGTATTTATACAAAATGTCAATCTGATAAACTTATAAAACATTTCGGTATTTTATTGAAAAAAAAAATTCTTTTTTTTTTTTCTCTCAAAAAATGTAGAATGAAAATATTCACTTAAAATTAGTAAAATAATCATAATATTGTACTACATTTATGCATTTCGAAATATCTTTTTGTTTTTTTAGATTATAACTCTAATCTTTCCCTACAGAATTACATATTTTGATCAATAAACCGTAAATAAGTTTATCATTGATTTACTGAGAGGAATAGAAATTTTTCGATTATTCTTTATTAGTTTATATTGCATAATGAAAGAAAAATTACATATGTCATATATCACTATGAATTACTTCAATAAAGATTACAAATTAAACTGCAATTGACAAGTATTTTCAGACATGTACTGATATATGTCACGATATTTTATCATGAAGAATTTCTTTTGACATTTTTGTCTAGATTGGAATAATGTATTTGGCACAATCATTTTTTTCTATCTATCTTGTTCTATTAATCAGTTTTGTTATATAATATATCAAACAATTTTTTAAGCACTTTTTCAAATAGATCCAATTTTTATTTCTTTTATAATTATGAAGCAGCCATATTTTCTTTTTTTTTTTTGTTAAATAATATTTAATAACAATAATAATTGAATTTTTATCAATATACTACGAAAAATTTCTTTTAAAATCATACTGCATTTTTATTTATGATAAACTAATATTTCATATAAAGTGTTATTCAAAAAATTTCATTAATAAAAAAAAAAAAAAAGAAATTATTTAAAAGGAATGTAAATAGAATTCAGATCGAAAATTTAGATAAATACAACAGATATTAATGTTAAAAAAAATCTCGAAAAGAAAAAATCTCAATTTAAGAATATTTACATCATTCAATAAGAAGGAAAATATCTTTCTTCTTAGTCACAAAATACTAAATAATTCTTCAATCGATCTATCGTTATCAAATAAACCTAATGATTACATAAAGAAATTACAGGAGATGCTTGATGCTTTAATACCATTAGTTTCTGTTAGTATCAAAGTAAGAAATAAAATCGGTCATTACTATAAATTCCTGATATGTTCATCGGTTTGTAGCAAATAGAGATGTCCCGAGATCGTCAAATTCAGAAAGATCAAGCGATTTTTCAAGATTGGGAAGTCACTCCTTCTTGAAAGTGTATCTATATTACTTCCTAATGTAATTTTTTTTAACCGGGACTATATACATCACACATACTCTTAATAAGAAAACGATTAAGTTCAAGGATAAAAGTGTCTACTACATCTTTCTTGAGACTGTTATGAGTAAAAACCTTATAGTTTAGAATTTTTCTTCATTTCAAATAGAAAAAAAACAACTAAACAAATCTGAAACTTTTTTTATACAATAAACTGTTCTCATATAGACTTATCTGTTAAAATGTTGAATTACTGTTTTTCTACTAAAATTATTGTAAAAAAAAAAAAAAAACTCG